CCCCCACTACCTACCACTGGGGAGAGGAGAAACTATTCAGTAAATGGTGCTGGGAAAACTGGCTGACCACATGCAGAAGATTGAAACAGGACCCCTATCTATCCCCAGTTCTAGTTGTTCTTTTCCAGATTTCTTTAAGTTTTCTAAATCTACAATTATGTCATCTGTGAAGAAATATGGTATACTTATTCCTTTCCACACTTTATGCATCTTTTTTTCCTGACTTGATTCTAATTCTTCCAATGTGACAGTGAATAGAAGTGATGATAGTGCATCTCCTTATCTTGTTCCTAACCTTAGGGGGAAAATGTTCAATATTTACCATTGAACAATGATGGCCTTAGATATTTTTATAGATGCCCCTTTTCAGACAAAGGACTCTCTTTTACATTTCTGGATTGTTAAGAGTAATCATCATTTGAAGGTGTTGGCCTTTTAGTAAATTCTCTTGCTCTTTTGAAAATAAGTTGAGATTATTATTTGGGATTTTCTTCAAGCAAAAGACAAAAATCTTACCCATTATGATCCTAGAGATAATAAAATTTTTTTTGAAATAATCTTTACCTATAGGCAATATGTCATTTTTTTAACTTTTAAAAATGACATATTGTCTATAGGTAAAGATTATTTCAATAAAAAAGAGATAATAAAATCTTATAAAATTTAAGATATTCTGCAAATATTCAATAGGTTGGACACACATAATTTTTTATTCTCCAGACCTATGTGGAATACTTTTTGGTTATGAATATCATTAAAAATGTCTCCTGTTTGTGATCTCTACTGTCTTCCAAAAAATAAAGGCAAAGACAAATAAGAAAAGTGTGTTAATTACTTTTCTTCTGCCTTTTGTTAACATAACAATGTTATATATTCTTCCCAACTTTAAGTAATTTCATCTCTTTTTCTTCTTATATTTTCAATAGTGCTTATATTGTAAAAACATTTATACTTATATAATATTTATACTTATATTACAATACTTAGATTGCAAAAATATAAGTGCTATTGACTTATATTTTTGTGATCTGGCATAGAGTAGGGGTCCAGTGAATATTTGTTAAATAAATGAAATATTATTACCATGGTTTTACTCAATATATCTGTAACTTGATTTTCCTCACCCTAATTTTGGAAAATTGTTGTCTATTGTTAAATTTTTGTCTACAAATACGACCCTATATTTACCTTGTTGTAGTCTTCTGTTAAAAATGTGTACCAGAAGACTGAACAATTGTATACAAAATAATTTAAAGTTTTGCTCAGTAAATTTGTGAATCATGACTCATCTACTCACACATGAACAGGTAATTATTGAGTGCTTATTTTGTGCCAATATCTTTTGTAAATATTGAGTAGCGTAGGTTTTTGAACTAGCTTTTCTTGGAGTGTTAGAGGACCAATAAAACAAAGCTGAGTATAGAGGTATTAAAACTAAGATATCTGCCTTCAAACCTGAGAAAAGAGTGTCTCAAAAGATGGCTGACTTTTGGCCTGATGATAGCTACACATTTTACGTATTCAGTCACAAGAGGGGGCTGCTTCATCTGCAAACTTAAGTTCTTTCTAGGAGAGGGGAAGCTACACTTACGTTTCCTATTGAAGTTACACAGAAAACAGAAAAAATGACATATTGTCATCCTCTTTAGACAACTTGTACCTTATGATCTCCTGTTGAGTGTGTTTATGGCTTCAAGAGTTCAGAGGCCCTTACACTGATGCCCTAAGCCTTTTCCTAGCACCTCCCATGACTCTCCTTTATCCAAGTTTTCCTTCTCTAAGCATCCCTTACCTTTCTTATTTTTACACTCTTTTTCCTTCCTTGCCTCCACTTTTTCTTACCACTTTCATTCCACTTGTTTACTTTTCCTGTTCTCTTTTCTTTCTATCTCAGTGTTCTTGGTGCACAGCAGCCATAAGCATGAGTGTAGAAATGAGGAAGGAAATGAACATTAAAGTCATGTATGTAAAGGGGATGAGTGTCAGCACCATTCATGTCATCAGCTACTACATCAAGAATGGAGGCATTGAGAAATGTTTTTCTAGACAATGCTCAGTACATGATTCCAAGACCTTCTATAGAAGACCTGAGTTCCAGGAGATTTAATTTTCAGTATCAGTGTTATTAATTTTTCCTTTCCCCTGAGCACATCATCTCCAGTTTTTGAACCTCACTTCTATTTTCTGGAATGTAGATGGGAACTTTTATCTCCTTAAACACAGGGCTCAGTATAAGTTTCTGGGATTAAATGTCACTTTCCACAAGCTCCCTTGAGCATCAGATAATTCCTTTGGTACATTGAGGAAGAAATGATGGAAGAAATGTTCTGAACAGATACATCCTTAGACTGATTTTTTTAATCCAGAACCAACCTCTTATACTTTAAACCTCATAAATGATTTTAGTGGACACCCTCTGAGTAGAGTGTGTCGGGTTGATATCCTCAGCCTCTTCTTGGGGACATAGCTAAAACTTCCTTTAGGGAGGAAGACCTAGAAAAGCAACTGCTTTGTCATTGACTGACAAGATTCTGACAGCAGCACAATGATAGCTGCTTGTCTTGCAAGTCTTTACTAGTAACTACTGCTTCTGTTCTCTGGAAACTCTTTAAGCTTGGGAGCAGACACAAAAACTGAACTCTGGGTCCCTGATCCTAGTTTGTCCTTGAAGTATGAGGCTGGTGACTGGAGTATTTATATTTCTAGCAGTAGGTAAGTGTTCTGCTTCTACCAAGGGAGGGCTTTTGAGACCAAAGGGCCCTAAAGGGTGGTTTGCTCTCCACTCTTCTTCCTGTGCTTTATCCAGCATGCTAGGGATATCATCGAAAACTGGTGTGTGCATTTGTTTAGGAAGTACATACTTCTACAGAACAGGCTAGACCATAGCCATAAATCCCAGAAGAGCCCTTAGCAGTATCCAGTTGCAAGAATTCTGGGTTTCTTAAGCCTAGCACCTGCAGAATACAGCCTACTGAGTCTCTGATTATTGGCATGCATCTTTGGTCTCTATAGTTAACACCAATGATATTTTTGTGTTCTTAAAGTGCATAAATACAAGCACTGGAGTATGGGGTAGGGTCAGAGAGGAGAGTTGTGAGTATTGTATCCTTGATCTATAGAATTACATTGGTTTGAGGGTCAGGAGCTAATCTGATTTTCTTAATCCCTTAGGGACTACAATTGATGCAAAGACCACCCAGCCTGACTCCATGGATTGTGCTGAAGGAGAAGCTGCAAGCCTGCCTTGTAACCACTCTACCATCAGTGGAAATGAGTACATATATTGGTATCGACAGATTCTCTTCCAGGGTCCAGAGTTTGTGATCCATGGTCTAAAAAACAATGTGACCAATGAAATGGCCTCTCTGATCATCCCTGCTGACAGAAAGTACAGTACTTTGATCCTGCCTCATGTTACTCTACGAGACACTGCCATGTACTACTGCATCGTGGTAGTTGCACAGTGGACAGATGGGGCAACACGTGGGCAATATCTTCCTGGTGTCAAATGTGGGGAGGGGGGAGGGTAGCGTTCACTTAGTCTAAAAAAAAATCAATAGGAGTCAAAGAGTAATAAGAAAAAGGATAATGAAGGAAAGGAAAGAAGAAAGAAGATGGATAAGGGAAAGAAGAGAGATAAGAAGGAGGAGAAGAAAGAACAAGAAATAAAGACTTTATTGTTGATGTGACTGAGAAGAATTATGTATGAAGGGACTAAGAATAATAATTTTAACATAGTGATGAAATGACAAGGACTAAGAATTTATCATGTCTCCTCTTCAAGTAAAAAAAAAAATTTTGTTTCAGTCTGTTAGTCCCAGTGAAAAGAATGAGGAAAATCAAAATAATTCTGCTTGTCCCAAACACTTTTTTAATCTGGATCCAGGGGAAAGTCCAATCTTTGATATGCATACTATAATAATTGTTCCAATTAAAGAAAAAAATTGTTACTGTGAGAGAAATCTGATACATTCTTTGTTGCTAGTCATTTGTTCCTAGTCTAGAACTTGCGTATTTGTGAGAGTTTTTTCTTTCTGGGAAGAAACAAAAATTAAAAGAATCTTTGTTTTTATTTGTTGAACTCTTGAATCTATGAATAGTTTTCATCATTTTCTTGTATTCCCTAAGCAGCATACAAGTCTCATCACAAAAGACTCAGGTAGAAAAAAAGTGAAAGCCTCTGTTGAATTTCCTCATTTCTCCCTATCAACCACCTTTCTTAAAGAATTGTACACCTATGTGACAGACTTTATTGTTTTTGAATAAACAACCATAGCTCTGCATAACTAAAAAAAAAAAAAGAACACCAGTTTTGACAGTTAAGGATATACTCTAAGAGCCTATTTTATTTCAATCATATATATCTTTGCATATAATTTTATGCAACTACATACAAACACATATACACACAGTTTTGTCATATGTGTTACTATTTTCTCACTGTCATAAAGAATATTGTGTCCTACGTTTGTATTGGTTCACCTTTGTATGCATGTGGAAGTATCTATTTTAATCAGATTTCTGAAATTGAAATTGCTATGTCAAATGAAAGGTGCATTTTGAAAGCACAGTCCTATTCACATAGCCACAAAAACAATGAAATACCTTGGCATCTTCCTGTCCAGGGAAATGAAAGTCCTTTACAACAAAAACTACAAAACATTGCTCAAAGAAAGACACAAACAAATGGAAAAATATTCCATGCCCATGGATAGGAAGAATTGACATTGTTAAGATGCCCATCCTACCAAAGGCAAGCTACAGATTCAATGCAATACCCATTAAATTACCAACATCATTCTTCTCATACCTGGAAATGACAATACATAAATTCATATGGAAACATAAATGACCACAAATAACCAAAACAATACTCAGCAAAAGAAATAAAGTGGGAGGTATCACAGTTTCAGTCTTTAAATGTTACTATAAGACTACAATAATCAAAACAGCCTGGTATTGGTATAAGAATAGGCATATAGACCAATGCAACAAGATAGAGATTCTGGAAGCAAAATCTCAATTTCTCAACCATCTCATCTTTGGCAAAGTCTTCACCAACAACCACTGAGAAGAGGAGAACCTATTCAGTAAATGGTGCTGAGGAAACTGGCTGACCCCATGCAGAAGATTAAATCAGGACCTCTACCTATCACCATACAGAAAAATCAACTCTAAATGAATCAAAGACCTAAACATAAAACCTCAAACTATAAGAATCTTAGAAAATGCAGTAGACAGCCTATGGGAATCAGAGTAGGCAAGCAATTCCTGATCAAAACCCCAGATGTTCATGCCATAATAGATTAGATAAACAAGTAGGACCTCATTAAACTGAAAAACTTCTACCAAACAAAAGAAACCATCAAGAGGGTGGGAGACAGCACACAGAATGGGAAAAAATATTTGCCAACTGTATATCTGACAAAGGCCCAACATCCAGGACCTACAAGGCACTCAACCATGCCGAACGGAAAAAAGCAAACAGTCCCATTAAAAAGTGGACAAAAGACATGCGTAGACACTTCTCAAAAGAAGATATACAGGCAGCCAACAGACACATGCAAAAGTGTTCCACCTCACTCATTAGAGAAATGCAAATCAAAACTACATTGAGATGCCACCTAACCCCAGTAAGAACAGCCATCTTTAATAAACAAAAAACAACAGATGCTGGCAAGCATGTGGAGAAAAGGGAACGCTTCTACACTGTTGGTGGGAAGGCAAACTAGTTCAACCCCTATGAAAACTGTGTGGCAGGCCAGGCTCGGTAGCTCAGCCTGTAATCCCGCGCTTTAGGAGGCCAAGATGAGTGGATAGCATGAGCCTGCGGGTTCAAGACCCGCCCGGGCAACTTGGTGAGACCTCATCTCTACAATAAATCAAAAAATTAGCCAGTCGTGGTAGCGCACTACTTGGAAGGCTGTGAGGTGGAAGGACCTCCAGGGCCAAGCAGGTGGAGGCTGCGGTGGCCGGGAGCATGCCACTGCACTCCAGTCTGGGTGACAGAGTGAGACTCCAATTCAAAAAGAAAAAAATAAAAAGAAAACTGTGTGGCAATTCAGTATGACCCAGGAATCCCCTACTGGGGATATACCCAGAGGAACTCAAATCATTCTACCAAAAAGATACCTGCACACGCATGTTTATTATGGCACTTTTCACAATAGCAACAACATGGAACCAATCATGCTGCCCATTGAAACTGGACTGTATAAAAAATGTGTTTAGAAAGTTTAGTCTGACATTTAGCTAGAATTTCATAAAAAGGAGGGCAAGAGTCTCTTTAGCTTTACAAAAGAGGAAATTGGCACTCACAATCAGCCCACTGCCCTAACTACAAACCAATGAAAGCTGTGTAAAAGACACATGCAATGTTTCAGCCATGCTATGCCTCCAGGAAGCAATACCTGACTACTCTGAAGTAGTGAACAGATTCAAAAACAAACAAACAAGCCAGGTTCAATGGCTCAACCTGTAATCCTGAGCTTTGGGAGGCTGAGGTGAGTGGATTGCCTGAGCCCGCAGGTTCGAGACCCACCTGGGTTACTTGGCGAGGCTTCATCTCTACAATAAATCAAAAACTAGTCGGGCGTGGTAGCATGTGCCTGTAGTTCCAGCTACTTGGAAGGCTGAGGCGGAAGGATCGCCTGAGCCCAGGTGGAGGCTGTGGGGGCCGGGAGCAGCCACTGCACTCCAGTCTGGGCGACAGAGTGAGACTCCAACTCAAAAAAAAAATGTTTCATGTCTTCATCTCACTTTTTAATTTCTGTTCAGAAATAATCCTCTGCCAATCAAAAAGGCACATGTTTATCCTTACACTAAATGTTTTCTGCTTTAAACTATATTGCTAAGTTTACCTTCATATATTACAAAATTAATGACCAGTTTTTGTATAAGTATCATTAATTCTATCACTAGTTTCACTATTAGGGTAGTGATTTGCCATGAGAAAGTCTGTTTCTACATCCATTTCATAGTATGATCCCTCAATAAAATTAATAGGGGTGAAGAACTTTGAGCCTTGGTGGCACCTATCTTCTGAATCTTACTTCCCACAAATATATAGGAGGGACTTGTTAGTAGTGTTTATTGAGGATTCTAATGTTCCACAAACTCTATCTGTTAAGCATGTCTGAGAGATTGATTCTAAAGGTAGGAGAATACCCAATTTGTTGAAATGGGCTACACACCAAATAAATCAAATTAGCACACCACTAGAAGTAGATTAGTGATAAGAATTTTGTGAGAAACAAAGTATACAAATATATACAAATATAGAACGTGGTAAATAAAACATCCCGAATACAGAGAGAGGAGAGAAATAGTTGGTGACTGTAAAACAACAAGCAAAAAATTTAAAAGAGAAAAGACTGAAATGAAAGATAGCATAAGATGATGGAGATAGGTGATAAAATTAATATTGAAATAGTTTTCAAATTAATGTTGGAAAACATTTGCACTGTTTTCTGAGGGTTAATGATGGTCTGTTTAACAAATGGCACTCAATAAGTTGTCATGTAGATAAAAATATATCTTGGCCTTTACCTCACATCATATGCAAATGGTAGTTCAACTAGAATATAGATCTAAATGCAATAATACAATATAAAATTTTAAAAGAAAATATAATTTTTTTATTACTTAGTGTTAAATACTTCTTCAACAGGATACAAAAATACCTAAACACCAAAATTGGATGAAATTTAAGTATGGACAATTAGAAGGGTAGCCAGCGAACAGAAAATATTGACCGCACATACATGGGAGGATCTCAGAAAACCCAGAATTATCTTTTGGCAGGCAGGCTCTTTGTAGTACAGGCTTTCCCCATAGGTAAGTGTTCTAGGAGCCCATCGACACCAATATACTAGGTAGTGTTGTTGTGAGAGGCTCCATTTGGCTTCAGTGATTTTTTTTTTTTTTTTGGTGGAGATTTTTTTCAATGTTTGCTCATTTAATGATGGGTGATTTCAAAGCTCACTTACCCACACTGCGCTGATTGTCCAGCAGCTTTTAACCAAAAATGGCATGACCCCTGTACCCCACCCTCCTTATTCGCCCCATCTTGCCCTGAGCAACTTTTTTTGTTGTTGTTTTTCCGAAGAAAAAAAGTCCTCAAAAGAAAAAGTTTTGCCGATGTGGAAAAGGTGAAACAAAAAACGGCAGAAAGACTAATATAGAGAAAGGCATCAAAAAATGGGCATCAAAATTGATGAGTTCAAAAACTCTTGAGAAGTGGAAAAAGCCTCTTTATGGGTGTATTGCATCAAACAGAGAGTATTTTGAAGATGACTGATGTTTAAGCATGTAAGAATAAATACACCATTTTTAACAAATAAATTACAGTTTCTTTGGGGTCCCCTTGTGAAAGAAACCATTTTGCTGAAAGAGAGATCTTCAAATCAATAAGAAAACAAGCTAATCAATAGAAAAGACAAAAGACTCAAGCAGTCTCTTCACAAAAGAAGATATTCAAATGACCAATAAACATACCATTTCTACAAAGTACAAAAGAAGACATAATTAG